CTTGCCTCAACCTCCTGAGTAGCTGGGACTATAGGCATACACCACAATGCCTGGATTTTTTGGTTGCAGTTGTCATTGTTGTTTAGCAGGCCTGGGCCGGGCTTGAACCCACTACCTTCGGTGTATGTGGCCGGCACCCTGACCATTGAGCTATGGGCACCAAGCCAGGAAAGAAATTCTTTAAAGAGAAATTATTTTAAAAATCTGATAATCAGCTGGGTGCAGTGCTGTACAATTGTAGTCACAGCTACTTGGGAGGCTGAGGCAGGAGGATCTCTTGAGCACAGTAGTTCAAGGCTATAACAAGCTATGATTTCACCACTGGGCTATGAACAGCCACTGCTCTCCAACCTGGGCAACAACAGCAAGAGACTCATCTCTCAAATTAAAAAAAAAAAAATTGTTTTTTGATAATCAAAATCAGACTGCCATATTCTGAAAAATAACAAGTATTTTCAGCCTATAGTCTTAGCAATAGATAGTACTTAATTCAGAAAGATCTATGCCGCAGGCTTTTCTAGGGTATGTGATTTTTAAATTGTTCCATTCTTTCTACTAATACTTTTTTTTTGTAGAGATACTTTAGCGCTCTTGGTAGAGTGCCGTGGCATCACACAGCTCACAGCAACCTCCAAATCCTGGGCTTAGGCAATTCTCTTGCCTCAGCCTCCTGAGTAGCTGGGGCTACAAGTGCCTGCTACAACGCCCAGCTATTTTTTGTTGTAGTTTGGCTGGTGCAGGGTTTGAACCAGCCACCCTTGGTATATGGGGCCAGGGCCCTACCCACTAAGCCACAGGCACCACCCTCTACTCATACACTTTTATTGTTAAATTTAATGATTTAATTCAAAACTCAGAAAGATGAAATAATTATATGAATCATCTCAAAGAGGAAATCTTAATACATACTGTGTTAAGGCAGATAATTTAATAGCACGTAAGAACACCATTCTTTGCTTAAATAAGACTATGGTAACATTTTTTTTTTTTTGAGATAAGAGTCTTACTTTGCCACCCTCGGTAGAGTACTGTGGCATCATAGCTCCCAGCAATCTCAAACTCTTGGGCACTATCTTTTTGTTGCAGTTGTCATTGTTGTTTAGCTGGTCCAAGCTGGATTTGAACCACCAACCTCAGTGCATGTGGCTGGCACCATAACTACTGGGCTATGAGCACCAAGCTGATTATTTGTTTGAGACAGAATCTCACTCGGTTGCCCAGGCTTACACTGCCATGGCCTCAGCCTAGCTCATAACAACCTCAAACTCCTGGGTTCAAGTGATCCTCCTGTCTCAACTTCCCCAATAGCTGGAACTACAGGCACCTGCCATGATGCCCTGCTAATATTTTTATTTTTAAAGAGATGGGGTCTTGCTCTTGCTCAGGCTGGTCTCGAACTCCTGAGCTTAATGACCCTCCTGCCTTGGCCCCCCATAGTGCTAGGTGTGAGACCACTGTACCAGCATAATTAGTGGTTCTCAACTAGAGGTGTTTCTTCCTCTCTGGGGGCCATTTTCTGTATGTGAGCTGGGTGGTGTGGTAGAATAGTTTTGGTTGTTGGTTGAACCCAGCCCCAGCCAAACTGCAACCAAAAAATAGCCAGGCATTGTGGTGGGCACCTGTAGTCCCAGCTACTTGGGAGGCTGAGGCAAGAGAATCACCTAAGCCCAAGAGCTGGAGGTTGCTGTGAGCTGTGAAACCACAGTACTCTACCGAGGGCGACAAAGTGAGACTCTGTCTCTGAAAAAAAAAAAAAAGAAGAATATTTTTGGTTGTTAATAACCAGCTATGGGCATTTAGTACCTGTGGTTCAGAGACATTACATGTCCTGCAATGGTTCATAATGCAGAGAGAACCTGTCCAACATGCCATAGTATCCCTAATGAGAAACAATTCCATGTTGGAGGAAGTATGTTATTTTAGGACTCTACTGCATTTTTACTTAGGGAACAAAATAAAGACCATCATTGGCAGGAAAGAGGGGAAGAAATGGGCAGATGTATTTCAAAGGATAGAAAGTTACAGATATGTGGAATGAATAAGCCTAAAGATTGTGCAACACAAAGACTGCAGTTAATAATATTCTACTGCGGTTGGGAATTCTGGGGAGAATGAATGTCAGGGACTCTACTCATACATGCTATAAGGATCACTGATCTCTATGTGAGATGATAGACATGTCGATTTACTTAACTACAGTGACCATTTCACAATGTATAATATGTGAATCAAAACATCATGACAGTCTCCATCCACACCTGTAGCTCAAGCGGCTAAGGCGCCAGCCACATACACCAGAGCTGGCGGGTTCAAATCCAGCCCAGGCCCACCAAATAATAACAATTACAACCAAAAAAAAATAGTTAGGCATTGTGGTGGGTGTCTATAGTCCCAGCTACTTGGGAGGCTGAGGCAAAAGAATCGCTTAAGCCCATGAGTTGGAAGTTGCTGTGAGCTGTGATGACATAGCACTCTACCCAGGGCAACAGGTTGAGGCTCTGTCTCAAAATAAATAATAAATAAAACATCATGATATAACCTTAAATATATAGAATTTTTTAAAGGGGAGAAAACGTGTCACCAACACTGGCATTCAAGAACGTATAAAACAACATGAATTAGACAGCATTCCATTATTTTACAATTCTACTATGCTTACTTACATTAAAATTTATTTATAATGGAAATGTGATAAACATTTTAAAATATTTCTCATACCTCATTCTTGATTAGGAAGTTATAGAGGGTCTCAACATCTTGAAAATTACTGTTAGGGGCCAAAATTCTAAAAAACAAAGTAAAATAAAAACAAAGGAGGAGGAATCAATGATTTAGGAACACAATACCCTGACCTTTCTCCCAAAACATACTTATACTGTGAGAGAGAACTTATTTTTTAATAAGGTTAAAAGTTTACAATGCTTTTTGTCAATTAAAAATCATAATACCACGAGCTTAATTCAAAAGATCAATTTATTAAGGTGTGTTCCCTTATTTAAATTAATACAGCATCGAGCAACAACCATGAGCATTCTTACATGTGAAATTATAGTTCATACTTTGAGTTCCCATAGTACAAATTTCTCAAAAAACAGAAATGTGAAGTGTGTTTATTCTCCATATCTTTTAATCTGCAGATGAAGCTTGAAGATTTCCAACAGAAATGTTCAACTAGTCTAAATGGACAAGTGATGAAACTATCAGACACTTAAAAGAGACTAAATAAAAGACCGATTAAAAAACAATGCTTGCACTATTAGCCTAGGACTATGAAAAACCAATAGTTATCATACCATGTCAACTACTGGAAATAACACTGGTTCATAAAAATAAATGACAGAAACAGAACAAAAACAGATCAGGTGTGGGGGCTCATGTCTGTAATCCTAGCACTCTGGGAGGCTGAGGCAAGAGGATCCCTTGAGTTCAGGAGTTCAAGGCCAGCCTAAGAGTGAGATCCCATCTCTACTACAAAAAATAAAATAAAATAAAATAAAATAAAATTAGGTGGGCCTCATGGCTGGTGCCAGCAGTCCCAGCTGCTAAGGCAGAAAGATTGCCTGAACCCAGGAATTTGAGATCTCACCCAATATGAGGGTGTTCAGCCTGCTCCCTGAGTAAAGGGCCTGACTACAACTTGAACTTTACCTTAGAAATGAAAACAATGTAACCTAAACATCTGGACCCTTTTATCAATCTGAAATTTTAAAAAATAAAATAAAAACTAAAACCAGCCACAAAACAAACAAGCCTGAGGATAATACACTGGGGACGGTGAAGGTCTATACATAATTTGCTTACAAATAAACATGAAAACAAAACTATCCCGATTAAGGTAAATCAACCCTGTAGAAAGGCCATGAGAAACAAACTAGAGTATATTCTAACTCTGCCTCCCAGTGAAGACACATACAAGCATTGTGAAATACTTTACACCTATTCTTTTTTATGGCTTTAGCAATAATCTAAACGGTTCACCCAAGAAGGTGAGAAAATGAGATGAAACAAGATGTTCTGTAGTAAGGGACTTACAAGTTCAAATTTCCAGTATCACAAAAGAACATACTTTACTAGAGAATAAAATTAACATTCCTCTGTCCTTGTTGGAGTCAGGTGGTCTGCATTCTGGGTTCTTGGGGTGCTCTTGGCCAAAGAATGACCAGACCTACCAAAGCAAGGCAAGCATCAAATACTGAAGAAGAGAAAGATTTACAGAGCAAGAGCAAGGTCTAGGTTTACAGAGCAGGATACATTTGCCACGGACAACTAATGGATCCATCCCCTCTGTGAAGACAAATAAAAGGGCACCACTAACGGTTGGGGTTTGTTTTATTCTGTCTGGACTGCCTTCCTCATGGTTTAGACGTTACCATGAAACCACACTGATGGACAGTAATGACATGATGATGAGCTTTAAGTCACTTTCCAAATCCTGTATGCCTGGGCTGCCTCGCTGAAGAGGCCTTCCTCCTTCCCCCAGGTGTGACAGTTGGTTGTTGGGGGCAGGATTAGGGTAGGACAACACTAAAATGGGCTGCCCTTGCTCTTCCCAGGGTGGGACAATTGCTGGACACAACATCATGGCACAACACCCACTTTGTCCCTTATTGGAAGAGTCTAGGAGGTCCCTTGCTGTCTACCTAACATAGGTAAACCAGTTGTACATTTATAGCAACAAGTCATAGCCAAAGTAAAAAATTTTTTAAAAATTACATCATCCAGCTAGGCCTGGTGGCTCACACCGATAATCCCTACACTGGGGAGGTGGAGGCAGGTAGCTGAGCTCACGAGTTCAAGACCAGCCTGAGCAAGAGTAAGACCCGGTCTCTAAAAAATAGCTGCACACTGTGGCCACCACCTGTAATCCCAGCTGAGGCAAGAGAATCACTTGGACCAGTGATCCAACAGCAGACAAAAAGACAGAACCTCAGAACCCAAGAGCCTGAGGTTGCTATGAGCTATGACGCCAAGGTACTCTACCTGGGGCAACAAATTGAGACTCTCTCTCAAAAAAAAAATGGCTTGGCACCTGTGGCTCAAGCAGCTAAGGCACCGGCCACACACACCTGAGCTGGCGGGTTCGAACCCAGCCCAGGCCTGCCAAACAACAATGACGGCTGCAACCAAAAAATAGCCGGGCATTGTGGCAGGTGCCTATAGTCCCAGCTACTTGGTAGGTGGAGGCAGAAGACTCGCTTGAGCCCAGGAGTTGGAGGTTGCTGTGAGCTGTGATGTCACAGCACTCTACCCAGGGGGACAGCTTGAGGCTCTGTCTCAAAAAAAAAAAAAAAAATTACATCCTCCTACTTTTCAAATCAGCAAAAAAATTATTTAACTCTTACCTTGTTTTTTGTCTTAGAGTACATAAATTACATTTATGGAATATAAAATGCAATCAGTTTAACAATGCAATGATTTTTTAAAATAAATTTACAGATCTGTGTAACAATACCCTAATCCAAGGGTAAAACATTTCCTTCTCCTAAAAAAGATCCCTTACCTGCAATGATTATGCTCAGCTCCAACCCCAACTCCAGTCACACCACTAATCTACTCTTCATCTCTACAGTTTCTTTTTCTGAACTACATTGATTTGTAAGTTCTTTTCCTCTGAACTTCACAAAAGCATAACTGTAATGGCAAATAATAGCACACTATATTAGAAATCAGAGGATGAGGCAAATTCCAGTGGATAATGTCTAACCCTCACAATGGATCTGATGAGTAAATAAAAAAGTAAAACGCAAAGTTAAGATGCCCAGATCAGAACAAGAGATCTTTATTCTTTCATGAAACCCCATTTGAGACCAACTATGAGCCAAGCAAGCACTGTTCTAGACCCTCGGATCCAATACCAGACAAAAAGACAAAGATCCGGAATAGACTGATGCATCAGAGTTTCAGAGCATATGAAAGAAAAAAATCCTGACCAAGCACAGAGAGATAATAAAAAAAGAAAAATATCTCACTGCTGTCCATTTGGCAGGCTCTTCCCACTTTAAAATCGCTACTTGTAAACAAAATAAGACACAGGAATCTTAAGTTTCTAGGAAAGAAGGCATTTGTTCCAAATGTACAAACTTGATTATTTCACAAAATATGACAGAATTATATTGTTTTATTTATTTATTTTTTTGAGACAGAATCTATGCTGCCCTGGGTAGAGTGCTATGGCGTCATAACTCACAGCCAACCTCAAACTCTTGGGTTTAAGCAATTCTCTTGCCTCAGCCTCCCAAGAAGCTGGGACTACAGGTGCCTGCCACAACATCTGGCTATTTTTTTGGTGTAGTCAGCATTGTTGGTTGCCAGGCGCAGACTGGATTTGAACCCACCAGCTCAAATGTATGTGGCTGGCACCCTAGCCGCTGAGCTACAGGTGCTGAGCTGACAGAATTATATTCTAATGAAGACAGGTTTATTGGTATGTCAACATCATTCACAGGTATGTTACTTTAATACTCAGAATAAAACTATGCCCCTTATTTTTTTAAACTAAGATATATATTACAGAATGTTAGAAAATGTTATTTTGAAAGAATGGTTTGAGGTAAAGTAACTCTAAAATAGACTATCCAAACTTTACTGAAATATACTCAACTTGGGGTTGTAGTTAGACTTCATTACATCCTATGAACCCTGAATATAAGAGAATGGAATTTGACCAGCCTCAAGGGCTTGTACCTGTAATCCTTCAACTCTGGGAGACAAAGGCAGGAAGCGAAGATCACTTGAGATCAGGAGTTCAAGACCAGCCTGAACAAGAACAAGACCCCGTCTCTATTAGAAATAGAAAAATCAGCTGGGTCCCTTAGCCTGTAGTCCCAGTTACTCAGGAGGCTGAAGTAGGAAGATTGCTTGAACCCAGGAATTTGAGGTTGCTGTGAGCTAGGCTCACACCACAGCACTCTGGCTTGGGCAACAGAATGGGACTTTGTCTTAAAAAAAAAAAAAATTACAAAAACTTTTACTCATTCAAAGTACAGCTTGTTGCAATACATAAAAAATAAAATAGAGAAAAATGGCTTATGTATCTGAATGCCTTAGTAATTCCCCACACAAAAATTCTTGAGAGGTCAACTTTCTCTAAAGTTTTCTATTTCTTTGTTTTTATATCAGTACGAAGACAAAAGACTTTTAGAGTGAAAATCCTAAAATTACCCTTCAATGGAAACTTTTTAAAAGAATGATAGAATAAAAGAATTAGCACTTGGGGAAAATGAAATATTTTCCAGAAAATGGCTGTTTTTAATCTAAGAATATGTTCACATTTGTCCCTTCAAAAGAAACTCATAAAAATCAGTAAGTATATGCATACTATTTGCTCAAATGCATATTATACAAAGACCTATGGAATATATTAGAAAATCATAGGACATAGTTCCTTATCTTCAAGTTGCTTAAAATCTTGAAATTTTATTCTAGAATCCTGGAATGAGTTTGGAGGAACAAATGTTGAAGCAGGATTTACTCTGCAGCTCACAGCGGAACGTGCTTTGCTTCTCTTTATAATGGCACTGAGAACAACTCGTAATGACTTAGTGAACACTTATCTCCCTAAATTCAGTTAGGTGACCTTTAATTTAGTTTTGTGATCTTGATTAAGTTACCTACTTTTCTGCACCTCAGCTCCTCACCTGTGAAATGGGGATAAGGTAGTAATACCTCATAAAGTTACTGTCTGAAATAAACACTAACATCTAAAGTGTTTGGCGCAATGAACAGAACTAACACAGAACAGGACTATAAATACCAGCTAAGATATAACAACCAGTTTTCACATGT